CACTGAAATTTATGTTACACTGAACTAATGATGTCAAATATTATATTACTGAATTGAAGATTTAGTTGGATAACCATACATCTCAAAAGGGTGCCTTTTTCGTAATTCTGTAAAATTTTAGAGAGCCCATGCTTGTGCTTTCCAAAAGCAGTACTTGAATGCTTAGAAAGGGTAGTTTAGGTTTTTATTAGTTGTTAGATGTTGTTATCTTCAAATATGTCTTGTCAACAACATTGGTTAAACAGAGGAGGGATAAATTTAGGGTCCAGGAAGAGCAAAGATCAAGGAATTAAGTAAAAGATTGTTAAGTTTATCCTTTTATTAATCTATATTTTGAGTAATGCGCCATTTTAAGAGAAGAATGGTTAACTTACAAGTTCTAACCTGACAAAACACAAACTTGGCTGGAGTAACTATATAAATATTCGTGCTACTATATATTTGTGCTGTAACATATCTTCTCAATCAAGATGGATGAGATTATGTAGACTTTTAAGGATAATCTCTACTCAAGAACAAAAATGGACCTATTGTTTAAAAGTATCCGTGTTACCAATAACACTTTGATGATCTGAAGAGTGTCATTTATATCATTACATCACAGAATATGAATTGCCTATTTGCCCTGGGTTTTGGAAAGAAAAACAGTATTCCACAACGATATGTGAAATATGAAATTATGCCAGTTTCTGAATGAAGAATTTGAGGAGATGGATTATGTCAACATGGGAAAGATGTTCAAGTTTCCCTTGATGAGAAAACCATAATGCTGATTTTTTATCCCATACCTAAAGCTATTCAAAATGATTGTTATGACTGAACACCGATGAGGATATGCTGAATTAGCAAAGGATATGGAAATTTATGTGACGCTGAAATATTGATGGCAATTTGATATAGATGAATTCAATATGTGATGGGCTAAGTATACTTCTCAAAAGGGTGCATCGTGTAATTTCTATAAACAGGTTAGAGAGAACATAATTGTTCTTATCAAAAGCAGTCCCTGAATGCTTAGAAAGGTAGTTCTGGTTTTCATTAGTTGTCAGATTCTGTTACATTCCACTATGTCTTGTCAACAATATGGTGAAACACAGAAGGGATAAAATTAGGGGTCCAGAAAGAGCGAAGATCAAAAAATTAAGTGGAAGACTGTAAAGTTCAGTGTTTTGCTGTATCAAATTTATTCCAAAATATGCACCAGGTTAAGAGAAGAAGGGTTACAACTTACAAGTTCTAACTTGATAAAGCACGAACTCGACTGGAGTACCTTATGTGTACAATGAATATTAGTATGCCCTTGTTTGAGCTCCATTATTTGAAAAAAAATTGATTTTGGAATAGTGTTTTTGGAAGAATGCATGGTTAAAAAGTAAGGAGAATTTTTGAGTTTATGTGTAATATTATTTTATTGAGACAATGTGTGGATGATAAAAAGTGAGAGAAAAATGAATAAAAATTTAATGGGGGCCAAACATGGGCTATGCTTGTTCTTGAATTTTGAGTTATATGATTTTTAATGTGCTGCGGTACATTTTCTACATAAAAGTATTATTCCAAACTAGCACACTATTTATTCTTCGCTGTAAAGAGTAGGTTCAGGTAAATTATAGCGAGGATTATCTATCAGAGAAGTTGCAAAATATTTACCAATTATAGAATGAAAATTACATTTCCTAGCTTAAAAGAGTTTTGGTGCAGCAGGAAGTTTTATTTGAAAACAAATGTCCTGGTGACATGTAAAGTAAATTAAAATGATTCTGTTTGAAGTTTTTGTGTTTCTTTGTCTCACATGCTTAAACCAAGAAATGGACAAAATTATGCTTTGCTTGATCAGATACCTCATTACATATCTATTGGATCTGTGAGATGATAGAGTCATACTGGTCTGCCCTCACAAAAAAAATTGTGTAGAGGCCCCCAATCCTAACATACAAAAACCCCACAACCCCAATCCAAATTGGGAATTTCTTTTCCTTTAAGCTAGTTTTTCCTTCAACTTTGTTGCATGTCTTGTTTGATTTATATTCATTGCAATCTAACTACTTGCAGCCATCACAAAAGCATTGGGAGGCATGAATAAGGTGGAGAAGGCAATAAACATTTGGCATGCCGGAATGATGTTGTACACCCTGGGCATGTGGGGACTTGCTTTAACTGGGTAAGTTCTTGACCATACCATACCGGTTCAATTGTCGAGGTTAAAATATTGTACTTCACTCAAAACTAACTTAAAAGCAATAAAACTTACTGATCTAGGCATGCAGGTGCCAACAGTACGCAATGCTAATAACCCAAATATCACAGCTATTTTGATGTCAATCGCTATTAGATTGTGCAGTAATAAAATATAAAAGCTCGCTTAGTAGAGGTTATTAAAGAGCTACATGTTGAGCTAACACTGAAAATGAAGAAAATTCAAGGATAAAAAACAATGAAGAAAGAAAAGATTTGTGGGGTTATGTGGGCATGGAATGATCTTTCAGGCACTTCATTATTTTGAATTTGCAACTCTCAGATTTACATTCCTCAAATTTTGCTTCCCTCAGTGATTCATGGAGTATCAAGCTGTTAGTTTTCTGTTATCAATTCTGACATCCAGGTTCTGTTAAATGTTGTTGATATGGAAAGTTGAGACAAGATACCTTATGGGTATTCCAGTTTTTCAGCATAGTATACAATGCATTCATATTTAACGCCTGCGAGTGATGACATGCCTACCTGATCTTCCTCTTTGCAGTTTGTACAAGAGTCGAGCCGTTCTGAGACTTGCTGCAACGGGGGTGCATACTTCGAGCAAAGCAGTACTGAAGGTCCTCTGAATGTAGCTTTTTTCTTTTATCTGAAACACAAACGGTTCTTGAACACAACCATTTAGCAACTTCGATTGTGTTTGTATATAACTGTGAATAGAATTGGGTTTGAAATTGTCTAGTGAAGTTTCTTATGTTGTTACAATGTGTGACTACTTGTAAAACTTCTTCATTTTATCAAATATTTTTATTGTTTGTTATACTCGTGGGTGTGAAAGAAAAGTGTAGAGTCGAGAGCACAGAATGAGTATACTTACTTCCAGTGTATAATTTTTGTGCTAAACTGATCGGCAAAGTGCAATAGGGGAATTAATCATTGACGGAAATTTCTTAGGTAATTGATGGAGATTCAATGGGAATCAATATGTGGGTGATTTAAACGGAATAATCAACAACAATACTACTAATATCGCCTTCATGTTTATCAAGAAAGTATCATAAACAGTGTTAGTAACTATGAACGATTCTTCAATCGCTAATGAAAGCAGTCGATATCAATATCGAAATTTTATTCTTTATACATTTTACAAGTTCATGACATTTAAGTTCATTTTTTTTTTCCTTATAATCCCAAGTTTATTTTCAAGTGTTATTTTATTACTAAAGGATTTTTTCATTGATATTTATAATTTTTCTATTACTTTATTTATTGATGAAAATATTATCGATAAATCAAATTTATTAAACTATTTATATTTTAAATATTAGTAACTAAAAAACTGTTTGCTATCATAATATTTTATTATTTTTATTTAACCCACATAAACTTTTGAACTAATATTTAATTCTTTTATATTTTAGTAATTGAACAATGAAATTCCCATTGATAAATTATATTTATTAAGACATTATATTTAATCATAAATTACTATTTTTAATTTTTATTTAGTTTCATATGGACTTTTCAGTTAGTAATATTTATTATTTTAACTGTCTTATTATTATTATTTTTTAAAATAATTATCACCGATGAGAAACCTCCTTTATTACTCATAATTTTTATTTTTAATTTTTTTCCTATATACTTTTTCTGTCAGTAATATTTATTATTGCGTTTTTATTATTTATTTAGCGGAAGAATTTCTTTTTATAAATAAAAATTATTAAAAGTCATAGAAATTACCAATGAAAATGATTTGGAATGCAAATATTTAAAATTTGGGTGCTTTTGAGGTCATTATTTTAAAACTTATTTTCAATCACACATTTTCTTATTAAAATAATTTTATACGTAAATCTAAAACTTTTTCATACTTTTCAACCACTCATTCTATAAAAAAACACTTTTATAATATCTATTTTTTCAACCAAATGGAACTTCAAAAGGCTAAATAAGAGACCTTAGGCAATCGCCTAATTTGTCTAAAGATCGAACCATTATATAGTAGGACCACAAGACTCATCTTTGTGGCCAACTCAAAACTTCATGCTACCTTTTTATTCTTTAATCTCACTAATCATACACATCACAAGATAGTATTTTGTATAAGCTAACTAATTCCAAGTTACAAGGTTAGAGAGAAAATGCCAGGTCGATCACAAAGAATTTTGCTACTTGTACATGGTGAATCATCCTATACAAGCGTCAAATGCAATGTTGGCAGCCATTTTTTGGGCAATACATAGAGCATAACTGCGATCACAAATGCTAGTAGTGGGTCCATCATCATATTGCTAGACCTCAACCCAGTTATATAAGCCGAACCTCCTCACATACAAGTAGTCCCTGTCCCACGTACTTAATAATCCTAAACAAATGACTTGGGTATTTTTCTGAAGCCAAGACTTCATTTTCCCCGTTTCAGGCATTCGGTCTTTTGAAAAGCTCTAATACGAAAGAACAAAAATAAACTCAGATAATTTGGTAAAATTTTAGCTTACAATGGCTCATGTCCATTCTTCACTAATAATTTTAAGGTACAACATAGTCCACTAAAAGAGAATAAAGATCTAATACAAATCTTGCAAGTCCAACTTATTTTACCTAACATGATTTTCAAAATTTTATTTTCTAGCAATTCTAACTTGCACACTCTGTTAAAGATGAACTCTTCAATAAGATAAATTGTATAGTAGCAGCACTCGAGGATTTCTCGCTAAGAATCAAAGAAGACACCAGTATGAATGACCGTAAATGCCATTTCATGTCATAAGAAATAAAGCTATCTTACGTTCCACACACAATATTCATTGCGCAACGAGGTGATCAACAGCCCAGTAGTAAGTTCCTACAACGGCAAACGATGCAAGTCCAGAACGAGCCATCCGCAACCATATGCCATTCATCAGTAAATTCCTATCTGCAGGGTGGATCCCGGTAAGTCTCTCAAATCTCTTTCCTGGTCTATTCCATTTGAGGAATTTCCTCTCCTTCAATACAAACTGGGAAAAAAAAACAATTCAAAAGTGATTATGTTACCAAAGGGGCAAAACCTGTGTATATAGTTGCAGGCAAAAGGAATTTAAGGAAAATATACAACTCTTCATAAAAATCAACTGCCACTGACAGATTTTCATTGAAATATGTTGTACTGTCATTGTGAACGAAAATGTTAGTTGTTCACAAACAAAAAAGAGAACCCAACGAAGCATTGAAGAATCGTGTAAGGTCCAAATTCTTATCTTGATAGGCGCTGTACCTTAGGGAGCACAATGCATTGCGATCGACTTTTGGCAGTGTCGAAACTATGAGAGGCAGCTGCAGCTATTGAACCAGAAAGTCCAGCTGCAAGACTAACAGCTACTGGAGACAATGGCCCAATTTCTTCATCAAACCTGAATACATTTTTTGAACTACGTAAATAAAAAATAAGGCAATTAAGATAGTTTTAAATACATTTTACACTTATCTCCCAAGAAATTCATAGATAGGAACACACATTTCAAGTCACAAGCTACAAAATGCTAAAATTGCATTAACAATGACCTAGTAAACGAGTCAAGAGGGAGAAAAATTTACGTTCTATCATTCATAAAAAAATTACTGGCAAAATGTTACTTGTGAAATTTTACACAATTGGCATGAAAGATGATAAAAATTGATAAGCCCAAGAAAATTAGTTAACAGCGCTCAGCAGTGATCAAAAAGGCAGAAATTTAAGTTAAACCAACAGTAAAATGTTAAATACAAATTTAAAAACTGGCAAATGAAAAACCTGGGTATGGGATCCATTCCAACTGCTTTCCATTCCAGCATCGCTCTGTGTAAAAATTGCCAGCTTGAAAAAAATACGCCACCAAAAATGGAATCTCGGACTAATCCAGGTCTAAGGCCTCTCCATAGAGCACCCCATCCTTCCAAACTGATGACATCTGATGGCCTTCTAACATTACTGACAGGTGGAGGTCTCCCAGATCCTGTCATCATCCATGGATATTCTTTCAATGCATCTATTGTATTGGCATGTTTATTTCTCAAGGTGGACAAAAGGCCGACTGAGTTACTCATTGCCCTCATGTCCAGTGAATATCCAGGCAGTAACCTTGCAATTAAAGGAGGATCAGCACTCATTTCAGCAATGGGTGGAGGGCGTGAAATGCGTGAAGCAGAAGCCACCTGGGCACGGAGTTTAATAAGTTCAAATGGAGAGCTTACAAGAGACTCCACACTTCCAGCAGCAAGTCCTGCCATTAGAGCTTCAGAGACGTGCACATAATTGTCTTCACGACCATCTGACGAAGAAGAATTGAGAGCAATGCATTATCTTTAGTATAAAACAATGCATGCTTAAAAAACCAGAAGTACGAAGTCGCAGACCATCATTCCGACAAGACATTGTCTATTTATTTCAAAAAAACAAAGTATATTAGAGGAGCATGTGCATGCTTCTGTGAAGACAAAAAAAGGGGGTCATCTGCAGCATCCAATTAGAAACAAGCTTCAATAGCCACTAATCGAATAACAATAAGCACATGCAGTTCATCTCAGAACCTTCATCTAACATGGTGATTAATATTGTCCTTCATACAAAACAAATTCAAGTCCCATGCTTCATTGGAAACTACTTCCATTATTATCACAATGCACGACTCAGTTTCCTGCATTTTTTCAATGTCCAAATATACCAAATCACTGCCATTTTCTTTCTAACAAAATTAATTTTGATGCTAATTCAACTTGCAAGTGACAAAATATGAAAACAACAACATCAACAGGGCGGGCTGCATATATCTTTTCTTGCACTGATGAAACAAGCAAACGATGAAGAAAAACTGAAATATACTTCACTGGAATCTTAATATTTGTGCAAGTGATCTGAACGTGTACATATATGTACACGATAAATGCTTGCCTGCAAGGGATAGTTCTGTCAGCCCTACTGGTCCCAAAACAACCGTGCAAAACTCCATTGTACTCAAGCACTATAAATTGCAGAACCTCCCTTTTGTTAAGGGTAAAATCCACATCCATTAAATACCGAAACTATAACCAACATATAAAAACTTGGTTTCATCTTAAAACGTCAACCTTGTTATCTTTAACATGACCCCACAAGATGGTGGTTCATTATAGCAAACTAATATTTTAATCTAAATGCTTGTTTGAGCTTTAGAGGGACCAGAGTATTCGTTTGAGCATAATGAATTCTGATAAAGGTCAACCTTGTTAATTAATAGGAGTAGCCCAATTTCTTATATGTTGTTTATTTGTTTCGTCTTTAATCGATGTGAAATATCACCTTTAACATGCCACCATAAGATGGTTGCTCGTTTGAATACACCATTCTTAGAATCTGAATTCTTGTTAGAGCTTTAAACGAATCGATTTGCTCGTTTGATCTTAACTGACCACCGTATTAAGAACTAGGGTTCCAACTAAAAAGATTCACCTTATTAAGAGGAGTAGCCTGAACCCTTATATGTTGTTTCTTTGTGTCATCTTTAATCGATATTAACCTTAACACCTTTTGCTTTCTACTATCTTGTTTGAAAACTCTGCCATTACTACTTGACTTTCTTACTAACTAGATACTTTTTGGGTGAAAAATAAAGATAAATATCAGGTCTATCTTCCTCACAACTCTTTCTCTAAGACTTATTCTTAGCTACCCAATCTCATCACGCACTACATACACTAAATAGCAATTTTTTGAGTGAAACCATTTTCATGCACAATTTCAGAGCAGTGTGTTTATCATAACAAGAAAGTGCTGCAAACTCTCTTCAACTCCCGATAGAGATTTAAAATAGGTGCGAACCGAAAAAATACAATCTCGTGTCAATCTCCACCTACTACTATCATCATTTCCTCCCCTGATATGTGCCTCGTATAAATATGTCAGAAACAACGCATAATCATCCAGTTCCCAGTCCTGCAAACCCCGGCCAAAAACAATGTTCCAACTGGGGCTCCCATTATGAATATCTAATGCATCATTCACCACGGCAGACGGCTCCAACACAATACGATACAAAGAAGGAAATCTCACCTTAAACGGTTGATCTCCACACCAACAGTCATCCCAAAAGCTCGTTTGATCTTAACTGACCACCGTATTAAGAACTAGGGTTCCAACTCAAAAGATTCACCTTATTAAGAGGAGTAGCCTGAACCCTTATATGTTGTTTGTTTGTGTCATCTTTAATCGATATATATTACCCTGGACACTTTTTGCTTTCTACTATCTTGTTTGAAAACTCTGCCATTACTACTTGACTTTCTTACTAACTAGATACTTTTTGGGTGAAAAATAAAAATAAATATCAGGTCTATCTTCCTCACAACTCTTTGTCTAAAACTTATTCTTACCTACCCAATCTCATCACGAACTACATATTTTCACTAAATAGCAATTTTTTGAGTAAAACCATTTTCATATCATGCACAATTTCAGAGCAATGTCTTTATCATAACAAGAAAGTGCTGCATCTTGCATGCAGAACTAATTGGATAGCAGGAGCTCATATAGAGAAGCCAAAAATAAACACAAAAAATGCACAAAAATTGGATAGTTTACCTTTGTAGAATGCTGTCAATATCTCATAAACACCAAAGCGAAATCCCAAGCCCAATGCTCTACCAGTAATCAACCAACCAATACCACTGTACAAACCTACAATATTTATGAAGGAAAACTCTGTTGAGTTCACCTTTGAGAATCAAAAATATTTTTCAATTTTTCGTTAATGAATAATACATTCACATAAACGAAATCATGAATAACAAACACAAAAAGATAGGGATACTGAGAGCATCACTAGACTAACAAAGGGAAATAAAACCCTTGTTGAACCTCAAATACCATTTAGGGTCTATTCATTTTGCAGAATTTTGCCTCTCAAGGATCCATAATAAAAACAGTCAAACGAGTGAGAATGCTCAAAACATCAAATTCTTAAGCTCGAGGAACCATTGAAACTGTTTTTTATCTTTGACTATAGGAAGCAATACATTTAAATATACTAAATTGAGTTAGAGATACAATTTTTTTAGAGATCCTACATATCTATCATTTAAGAATCCAAACATATTTGACATTTGACTGGACCAAGTTTTCTTGTATTTGCTAGCAGTTAATTGCTTCACATTTTTTTGCCTCAACTCCTAAGATTCAGACAGACCCTATAGTTTCCTATCATCTAATCTTACTAATTTTGCCAATTGAACAATATTTTTACATTTGAATGCTTATGTGCATGCACATAGATAAGATATCGGACATGAAAAACTATATCACTTCAAACTCGAAGTTTTGATGCTGTTCCAAAAGTTGAAGTTCTTAACATAAGTTGGCAATTGTTAAATTACCTGAATATCCCGAGATAGCTCGGACTCTATCGAGAACCCGAGCCATAGATAACTGTTTCCTAGAACCAGAGCCAACCTGTTTTTTGTGGTACATAGAATTACATGAGTATGAATATTGACAGAAAGATAATGAGGGCTATGCATGGGTATATCCTGTATGTCCAGACGAAAAGCCTATCTGAGAACTTCGTACCTGCAAAAGGACTTTGAGAGTATCAAGAGGGTAGGAGAGAGCAGTGCCTAATGCAAAGATAATGAGGGCTATGCATGGGTAAATCCTGTATGTCCAGACTAAAAGCCTATTTGAGAACTTCGTACCTGCAAAAGCACTTTGAGAGTATCAAGAGGGTAGGAGAGAGCAGTGCCTAACGCCACAGACCCTACAGCAGCAACTGCATGGGTTGCAAATGTGTTGCTCTTCAAAAATTCATCCATCTGATTCCCGATGCACTTGCACTTGCAACACTTTTGGTATTAACTAAAATCCCACATTCAGAGAAGGGGAAGAGCAATTACTTTCACGCGCTCAAATTTAGATGCCCTTTTAGATCTTACAGCTTTCGGGTCCTCGAAAATGCGTTATCTTAATTTCCTCAGCTCCAAAATCATTTATATTTTGTATGAAATCCTAATCATGGAAATAAAATCTACTCATTACAAGAGAAAAACAAGAATTTCATCAGAGCTGGCTGCTAGCCAATTTCATAAAGACAACAAACTTCACCATCATGGCTTGTAGTTAACCAATGGGACAATTTTGACATTTGCCAATCAAACCACAATGGTATGCATAAATGGATCATTTTGTCAAAATCTTTTGTTAAGCATCATCGGATGGTAAGTTTACCACTCACTCCAATTGAGAGAGTAAAGTGCTGATGTATATAAACACTATTGTACAAGTATCACATATGAAATCTTCGATTTACCAAACATCTTTTTTTGGGCATCATGCAGTGGCAAGTTTTCCACTCATTGCAACTCAAAGTAAGTGAAAAACTATGGCAAATTGATGGTTGTTTTTAAAAACCCACCCGGGCATGGACTCATAAAACAAAAAGGATCAAAGGGTCGACCGGGGTCAAACTGGTGAAAAAAATTTACAAAGAAAGAAAGAATGAAATACAAGTTTTTTATATCAAATTACAAAAATTGTATTAGGCTATTAGCTACACAAATCATATAATTAACAAAAATAATCAAATACAATCAACAAAGTAAAGTGCTACTCAATCCCATTACATAATGTAAACCAAGTCAACAACATTAAGTAAAGAAGCACTTTGGAGTAAACAAACTAGATAGAAGACAAATGAGATTTAAATTACTGCAAGAGCAAGTTTAAAAAATAAAATTCATGGTTCCATGAACTTCCATTATATGGTTTCTCATATATCAGAAATCCAAGGCTCATTCAGTTTTGCTCATTCTATTTGGTTTATCACTGAGTTCTTCACTTGGTTCCCTCCAGCATCAGTATTAGGCGTTCAATAGTAGTGTAATACACTGCCAATAGACTGGAATGCTGCCTGTTTGGTTTAAGGTAGCTTGAAGAAAACACAAGCTTGTTCATTAATCTGGCATTGATGGGATTAAAAACTAAAAACGTGTATCAT